AATCTAAAGGCAATATACCTTCTAACAACAATGATTGAGTCGCCCCAGTATCATGTAGATTATGTATGGGTATGGGACTGGCAGTGTCATTTGTCAACGAAACAGAACCAACAGACATAAAAGGTTTAAATTCTTCCCTGATTACAACAACCTTTATATCAGTGGCCAAATCAACAACATCGGGTGATCTGGTGAAACTACGTCTATATGTGGACACAAATGCACTGGGTATTGCCTCCTTTTTTTTTCTCTTCTTCAAACACCAACAGTCGGACATAACATGAATAGGTTTTTTACAAAAATGGTAGACAGGCCTTGATGATTTTGATGAAGTTTTGTCCTGAATGTCAGAAGATTTCGAACTGGAGGAGCTGGTTTTTTAGAAGAATCCTCAACTTTAGTGGATTGAAAAGATACAGGTTTTTGTAGAGATGGTAGGAAAATCTTTTTATGAAAATTGGTTTTATGTATTAAAGTGTAATCATCGGAAAGAGCAATTGCTTCCTATAGTGTTCCAACTTTCTTTTCATCTAGTAAGTTTGAGGTCGTCAAGTGCATAACATTTAAATTCTTCAATTATACATAATTGTCTTAGTTTGTCGAAGCTGTTGCCAATATGCATAGAATTGCACCATCGGTCAAAATAAACCTGTTTTTTTGTGGACAAATTTCATATAAGTTTGATTATTTTGTTTGCGATAACCTCGAAACTGTTGACGATAAGCCTCTGGTACTAACTCGTATGCTTTGAGAATATCTTCTTTAACCTTATCATAATTCGTACAATCTTTTAGAGAGAGAGTGGCATAAGCTTCTTCTGTTTTACCAGTTAAAACACTTTGTAATAATAATGACCATTTCATGGTTTGGACAACCTTCTCAATATTTAACTTCATTTTCATTAAATAGTGATACTTTAACATATCGGCTAAGTTCAAAGTTGTCATTTTCCCGTGGTCGATCCGTTTCTTTCAGCATAATTTTTATTCTCGGCTTCAATGCGAGCTTTTTCGGCCTCGAGACGTTTATTTTCTCTTTCAGCTTGGATACGAGCTTGCTGAAGCTCGATTTTGGGTTTTAGCTGAATTTCTAACTTATCCTTATCACTCAACCCCGAGTGGCGAATTGGTACACTAGATTATTCCTATAATGCTTCCTTAGGCAACAAATAATCGTCGACTAGTATTTCGATTATACGCTTTTTTAGCTAATTTTTTCTCATTGATCTTTTAACTTTTAGTTCTAAAACTTTGGCAATTTCGAGCAATTCATTTTTGTTATATCTTTCTGGTTGTTTGAGGGAGAGTGATTCAAGAAAATCTTGAAAATCAGACATGATCAAATCTTGTTGGCACTGATAGATATAAATTGAATTATGATTAAATTTTAATTTAGATAGAATTTTGTCTCTGATTCATATCTCGGGGGAGCCCCAATTTACTCTGTTACGTGTTCAAATACCATAAAACTTAGTTAAACTGTAATTTAGATTTAGTAGTTAAATCTCCAATTTATGATATTTGCCAACAAGATTGATACACAGTTTTCTTCTTTTTTAATACAAATATATTTTAATATATAAACAATAATACAATTTACAAT